CCCCTTCCGGGGGTAGATCCTTATCAGAAAAAGAAATCAGATTGCTAGTACTTGGCAGCTCAGTAGTGAGAAAGTTGACCAATCCTTGAGGAGTCATGTCATCATCGACTCCTATTTTCACCAGAGCATTCATCACAGCCTTTCGATGCTCGTGGGAAGTGGCCAAAAGCTTCCATACATTCATCTCCACCTTGGTCTTTTGTAGTTGTTTGACCACATCGCTATTCACAGGGTCGATGGGATCAATTATCGGATGTGATTGTGGTGGAGGTGGAGGTGGGTTAGGTTGTTGCAACCGTCCACTTCTAGTGAGAACCTTGACCTCAAGGTCCCCCCAAACATCTCCACTGGTGCCGAGAGATGAACAGGCTATGTCTTTGAGATAGACATCTTCATCATCACTATCCCAGATCCCATTCACTTCTTCAGTGCTTGAGATAAATACAACTTCCGGCAGAGGTTCATTTACAGGTTGAATGATTATTAAAGGATCAAAGGAGACTTCATCTCCCATGATAGCCAAAGCATTAGAAAGAGGACCCGTTTGAATGTTAGGTTTCTTGCCCCCTAGAGGGACAGGAAGTTGGTTAGCATCGATCAGGTCTTGGATTGCATCTTTCAGCCTCGAACACTTCTCAGTGTTATGACTCTTGCCTTGATGATACTTGCAATAAGCATTGGGGTCATAGCTAGCGGTCCTATTCTCAGGTCGAGGTTCTGGAAATGGTCCGATTGGCATAATCAGTCCCTGACCATGAAGACGGTCATAAGCAGCATCATAAGTCATTCCCAAAGGCGTATAAACCCTCCTTTGCCTTTGGAATCTTTGAGGAGGAGCATTAAGGGCTAGCACATCATTGATGTTGATATTGTTGGTAGCATTATTGGGCTTAGAAGACGAAGAAGAAGGAGTGTAGTTCTTCTTGTTTTTCCAAGTGCTGTTGTTATTGTTGCTACCAACAGACTTCATCAGTTCATCTTCGATATTGATTTCAATATCGTATACAGCTTCAAAGGTACTTAAAGGCAGAAACTTCAAGTGTTGCTTGTATTTATGAGTCAGATTAGCAATGAACAAGCGAACCATTTCCTTCTCCTTGGGAGGATCCACCAAGAGCGCAGCTGTTTCTCTCCACCTGCTTAAGTAAGTGGTGAAGCCTTCATTCTCTTTCTGTTTGAGAATGGAGATTTCACGTTCAGAAGTCTTGGCCTGGATGTTACACTTGTAACGATTCATGAAGCTTTCAGCAACATCCTCCCAAGTCGTGACATGTTTGGATTCCAAAGAATAGAACCATTGTTGACAAGCATGCTCTAAGGAAAGAGGGAACACCGTAGGGAAGAGTGTCACATCTACTCCCTTAAGAGCCATAGTTGCAGAAAAAGACTTCAAATGGAAAAGCGGATTATCAGTAGGCCTGAATCTGGGAATGTCAGTAGTGGAAAACTTCTCAGGAAGCTTGTCTCTTATAGACGAAGAGGCGACAGGCTGTTCCACATAAGTGAACTCTTCAGAAATCTTGCTCATCTGTTCCTTAATCTTGTCCATTGCAGCAGTAGTGACATTTTTCTGATTGTCTTGTTCTACAGTGCTGACTCTAGTGGTGAGTGTCTGCATCATGTCAGACAATCTTTCAATTGTCCTATTGAGGTTCTCGGTCTCTTCCTTAGTGGCCATTGGTTGAAAGTAGACTGGAGATGGATTTTGTGGAGATGACTGAGGTGGTTTCCTTGTACGCCTCTTTGGTATAAGAGGTTGTTGAGGTATGGACTCGAACCGTAACAATCTACCCCTGCTTCTTGACCAAGTGCTGTGACACCGAAACAAACACACCTTTAATGACCAAACTTAACCTTAACCCATCCGGAAAAAAAAAATCTATGGTTTTGAAATTCTTTTTGTTTTTTCAAAAAAAAACATATGGGAGGATACCATCTGACTTACTCCGAAAAAAAAGGACACAAAAACGAGACTTCCCTAAAAAACGGTCAAAAAGTGGTGCACGAAAAAAAAAAGTGTGTGAACACGATATGTGAGTGATTAGGTGAGGTTATAGACGCGTGTTTTGACCGTATAGCTAGACACGACACAAAATTGGACACAACATTCGCACGAAAATCGAAAAAAAAGACTGACAGGACACTTTCCTGGGCAGCGTGTCACGGTGCAGAGTGTCGTGACACGGTACAGTCTGCCATCAGACGGTAGACTTCCCCGTGTCACGGAACTGTTCACCGTGGCGCGGCAAAACATGCCGTGACACGGTGCGCAGTTCCAGGTCAGATTTGTGATTTTTTCAGATTTTAATCGATTTTAAGTCCGTACTAATTACTATGTGAGAATAAAAACCCTCGGTCATGGGTTAAACAAAAAGAGCAAACACATGAGGGTTAGCACCAAACAACCACATAGCATTTAGGCACGATGATGTAAAAAAAGTTCGCAACCTAGAGTCGAGATCTATGTTCAACTATTGGTCAAGCTTTGAGTGTCAAAAGGGTACCATGGTTAAGAGTTTGGACGTGTTAGCCAGCCTCCCTTGAGGGTGTATGCCAACGGGGGGCTCCGCGAGTTCGTGATGAAATCGAACTCGACTCCATGGTTTGGGTGGATTTAATAACTCGGATGAACCCTTATTGCCATGAGCGTTTTTGGGTCGATAGAGCTTAAATCCCCCGGGGCTAAGACGCATGTAGAACACATACGTTTTTTCAGAAAAATCGAAGGAAGTCGACTGTGAGAAAAGAAAATAAGCCCCCGGACTGATTTTAGGATTGCCGTGACACGATACTGTGCACCGTCAGACGGTACACTGTACCGTGACACGGCAGTCAGAAAATCTGACTGGTGCCCTGTTTGCTTTTGCGCGCAACCAAGTTATCCAATTTTTCCTTCGGGACAGACTTGAATGTGACGTTAAAACGTCTATGCAGATGCAAAAATGCCAAATTAATCACAGGAATATTTTTTCAAGAATCTTTCAAGTCTCATCCACTTATCTTAATTAAATACCTATCACTCCAATCGATAAATAATTAAGAATCCTTCCCAGTGGAGTCGCCAAATTGTAGGCGTCGCTCGAAGTGCGCCTACGTAAAAAGCATGTTGTGAATATGCTTGGCACTCATAGGAAGTGGGAATTGACATTACGATTAGGGACAACGATTAGGGAAAAATAAAGTAGGGAGCCGCCAACAAGTTTTTAAGGAACTTGTAAACCGTTCACGGATCATAAAAGGCAACCACGATAAAGGACAACGATAGGCAACAACGATTGACCCGTGAAGGTTACACCCCATTCATAATCCATGAGATTACTAACTCCATATGGTTCGGAACCACGAAAGGAGGATCGGGGATGATGGTACGAAGTGAGTAATGGAATCACATTCGCCCGTATTGGCCTCTACTCGATTCTTATATTGAAAAGCATTCCTGCGATCTCAAAGGCATACAAACAAAGATTCAATTCGCTCCAAACTATTATTTAACTAAATTAGTTTAATATTACTGCACACATAATTCTAAAATATTGGTGATCACTTCAATTAATAATAAGATTAAAAAGGATCCTGAACCGGTTGTCCAAATTATCTTATTAGGCGTGATTTTCAATTACATATTCTCTTTAACATGCAATATGGTGATCAAAATAAATATAATAGAACAACATTAATATTAAAACCAAATTAATCACAATTCCAACAACATAAGATTGTTAGAAAAATAATAATAAAAAAAAAGAGCATGATCCTTACTTTGAATTTGTTTGTTTGCAACTACAAAATAATAAACGAGTTAGTAACTTCAAGAAAATAATAAAACAATAACTAAATTAAATTAAATAAAATAAGGTTGGTTTTGGGGCCAAACCCTCAAACGATTCTACCTTTCACGCCTTGGCTTAAGGACAGAACCTCGAGTAAAAAATATGGACTCCTTTGAGTGCTTGAAGAAGGAATTTTGAAGTAAAAAGGGGAGGCTAGTGTTTAGGTTAATAGCATAGAAGAGAGAAAATAAAAATAATAAAATTCTGGTCGCCCCGTACATCAGAAATGAGGGGGTATTTATAGGGAAAATGTGCTGAGGGAGCACACGGAACCCTAAAATGATAAAAACCCTAAAAAAGTATCCCGTGACACGGTCAGACTGTACCGTGACACGGTCAGACTGTACCGTCAGACGGTACACTTCCCCGTGACACGGTACAGTTTTGGAGTGACGCGGGAAATTTTCAGAAAACGGTATAAAAAACGCGTTAAGGGTTTACGCGGAAAGGACACGGAATGTCCCGTGTCACGGCAGACCTCCCGTGTCACGAGAAGTCCCACCGTCAGACGGGAAGGGTTCCCGTGACACGGTGGCAGTCTGTCGTGAGGCGGGAACTTCCAGTCCATTTTTCCGTCTAAATTCATTTTTAATCCTAATTTCTTTCGGCTTTTTAAGTGCCGATTGATAATTTCGGGCTTGTTTCTGACTTTTATTATTCGGGCTAAAATAAGAAAATAATTAAATAAAATAATAAAAATGTTTGGGCCAAAAACAATAAAATAAAATAAAAAGGTTTGGGCTTAAAATTGCTTAATAAGTTTGGGCTGAAATTAAAACTATGCTTTTTACCAAACATCAAGACTAATCCATGGACCGTTCAAAATAATGAATTTAATACGATTTTTTAAGCACTCTCGGGATTAAATACTAAACCCGACCAATAGTGGCGGTGAAAGATTATTTATCATCGGGTTTAGTTTTGGAGAGACATTTTTAGGTGTCTACAACAACCGTTGTAGATGAAATCGTTGTTGTAGAGGGTGGTATTATGTAACAACGATTACTCTAACCGTTGTTAAATGTATGGTGTTAACAACATTAGACTACTCATTTAACCACTGTCAATATTGATATTCTTACCGTTGTTGATGTGAATAGTTTGTTTGTTGTTAAAGTAAAGATCTTGAATCATTGTTGTTAATTAACTAAGAACTTAATTATTTGACTATCTATACAAACACAACTAAATTTACACAAACAAATGGATTGTATGTATATAAAATAAAAACTACTAAGTTTCACGGTGTCCATTGTAATAGAAAAAAAAATACGAAGCATTCATAATATTAACTTTAACAATTTGAGAAACATTAAACTAATAAGAAATCTAAACATAATGATTTGTCCACCAATTAGTTTTAACTTCCTAAATCAACTAGCAAAGTAGAGAATGTGGCGTGCCAACTCAGTTTTCACTTCATCAATTTGCTCTGTGCTATAATTGGGCCATAAACAATCTGAAAAGTACTGCACATATTGAAAAATATTCTAATCAATAATCAAAGCAATAGTTAATTTTTAATACAAACAAAACATTACAATAAATTTACCATTTCCGGAATTTGTGGTTGGTTATGAGCAATGATATCTCGCATGAACCTTAGGACATAGTAACCAAAATCTACACCATTAGTCTGACGAGGACACTGCATAAAAATAAGTAAAATAAATAGAGCGGAAAGACATAACAATGATTCCAACTTACTTATAAAAGACAAGCTATAAGAAATTTGGGTTAGATTAATTAGTATCCTACGGAGTAAGGCACTTAGGCACTAATGACTATCTTTTCTAAATAAAATTTAGATTCATCATTTGTTTCCTTTTTTTTTATTAAATTTTTGGTTATAGATATCACATAATCTTAAACAAACACAAAAAAATGCAATCTAAAAGCTAGATATTACAAGTTTATCGACATGAAAGTGATATGCAAATAAGTACCTGAATTTTGGACCAAGTTGTACTTTTCTTCACCTTCTTACTTCCTACAACTTGATTTTGATATATAAGTAATGCCCTATCAAATGGTTAAATATTTTTCAAACTTAAGAAAAGTAAAATATAAATATTGTCAAATGTATGGATAAAAAAAATCTTAATAGTATTTTAATAATCAAGCTTACGTCTCTACAACGCTACGTAATGTTTAGAATGTTTAATCGCAAAAGTAATGAACTCCTCCATTCCTTTCTCATATTCTCCTCCGGTACGATCTTTTGACATCCATTTTCGATCCATTATGACTAATCACGAAGAGGAAATTTTCATAACGGTCAGTGTTATTGAAGAGTTAATAAATTTTAATCAATCTAAACAAAATTTTGATTAATTTGATTTTGTCTAATATTCTTTCATTATTATCAAACACTATTAATTTAATACTTCTATCAATTTTTTTTTGTTTTCAAAATTAGTCACGCTGCCACATAAGCTGCCACATCAGCTGCTGCTACCACATGGCATGCCTCATCAGATTTCTTGTAATACAATTGTAATACAAGTAGTCTTTGTTTCTGAATGTGTCTACGACTCTAACTTTGTAATGACTTCATATATTTGACTATGATAATTTTAACTTAAACTAATGCATTTGGTGATTTATTCTGTTCAATTCAAATTTTGCTTTTACATGACAACCAACTAAAACATATCTATTCCTAATATCTTTCATCATTTATTTTTTGGCTATTAAATTTAAAGGCTTAGTGACTTTAGCATCTTTGTATTGAAATGATTATTTTGCCTAAAAAAATTATTGATGTTCATATAGCTGTGTTTGAAAGAGATACTTACAGAGGTTAAGCTTTTAAGCAAGAATGAGAGGAGTAAGTACTAAGGCTGATATATAAGATGAATTATATATGGAGCATGATCCATGTTTTCATATCCAATTAGAGTAGGGTATAAAATAAGTAATTGATTTTCAAGAGTTTTTTTTTTTTATTATTTCTGAAGTAACAACAGACTTTTGCTTTGGAGCCCCACCCTAAAATGCAACTTTCCAATAATTTAAGTCTAAGCTTGATTTTCAAAAGAAACCCAATTACCTCTTTTGAATGATACAAAAGGAAATGATAAATGAGCTTTTTTTTTGTAGTCTTTTAATTTATCTTACAAATGAATTATATAGATTATATGAACAAAGTAATACTGCATGATTTATATTCGAGAGTGGGCGTAAATTTGATGGAGTAATTTGAATCCCTTTATTAGTTTTGTGTTTCTTACAACAAAAAATATGAGTGAAACTCAATTTATTGGCATAGTGATTAAATCTATTAAAGAGGTTGGTCATCTTGAGATAGCTAGAGGTTTGGAAGAGTACTTTTTTGCATTTCCATAAGCATGATATCACTATTTTATAAATGGGTCTTTCTTGTTGATACGTAATACATACGAAGTTCTAGTGTTATTGTGTATTAGGCCTACAAGTCTAATTATGGATGTCAAGTACTTTTACCTCATTCAGAAGCAAAATAAACTACTACTTCCGTTTCTTTTTAGTTGACATGTATTCCTTTTTAGGAAGTTTCTTTTTAGTTGACACGTTTTCTTTTTAGGTAAATTTTTTACCTTGACCCCACTTGCTTTTTCATTCTGTATCACTCTCTCTCCTCTCCTTAATATGTGTGCCTAAATCAAACGCGTCAACTAAATAGAAACGGATGAAGTATAATATAACCTTACATTGTAGTTGTTAAACTATGTTTACCAACCAGAAGCAATTATTACTCTAAATACGAAATATATATCATTCTAAATGCACATGAAATTGTGTAATTATTCATAGCCAAGTAAAATAATACAAGCTTCAATAAAAAAAATTCACTAAATCCCACCCGTTGCCAACATCATCCCAATAAATCAATATGGAATTGTATTTTCTTTTTATAATTGGAAAGAAACCAACATACCAATCCAACAAACAGAATATCAATATGGGGAAAGAAACAAATTTGAATTAGCTACATACCAAAGATAATATAAATTAAATTAATTGTGTGTTAGCTATAATGTATACATGTCCTCTTAATCATGGTAAACCGACCAAAATTGATTCACCATACATCTAATTTCATGAAACAATTTACCCAGATTCTTGCCAATGAAGCCACATGCAATTTAAATTAAACAAATAAAACATCAAAAAAGCTAAAAATTAGTAATACGGAGTAGATGAATTACTTACCGAAGTCCGCAAATAAGTTGTCTGATATGTACTCTACAAATCGTAACCTCAGCCTCCCTAATTACATCAAATTAGACTCAAATCAGTTTAATCCAAGCCACGAACCCTAAGAAATCAAGATGAATTGATAGAATACCGTACCGAAAGATGTCTTGCAAACCAGAACGAGGAAAGAGAAAAGTGAGATTTGATTTTTTTTCCCTTATATATATGACCATTACAGAAACAATGAGAGTGGAATAGTAGCAGTTCCATCAAGTTTATGGAGAGTGGAAGCGGAGAAGTAGAGTTTCACAGCCACCCAAATTCTATTGTGAGTGGGTTTTGTGGGAGAGTGGGATAGAGTCATAGAGGGACTAGAAGCTGATGCTTTTTTGGGGATAAATTTCGGGGGTTTATTGGTTTTATTTTATTTTATTTTTTTATTATTATTTTTTAAGCAGAAAAAATTTATTGGAATTTTACTACAGTAGAAGATACTAAGGCCCTTCAACAACGTTTACCAAAGGCCCGTTATTAAAATTGTATTCCTTTAACACCAGTTAAATATAAAATGTTGTCTGATTCATAATTCGTTGTTAATGATATCAACTTATAACAATGGTTCAAGAAGGAGAGTTGTCATACATTATAGTATATTTTTAAAGCTACTTAATATAACGGTTCCTTGTTGACACGTTGTTGTTAAGAACGTTGGATTTTGCAACAATTGTAATAGGAATGACTTATGATGCGGCCTTTGATCGCCTTTTTAGTCAAGGCTTGATCACACCTATTGGGCCATTTCCAGAGCCAAAACCTGAAGAAAGGAGCGCCAAGTGGAATCCCAATGGCCACTGCGATTTCCATCAAGGAAGGGGCCACACTACCGAGAAATGTTGGAATTTGAAGGACACTATTCAAGATCTTGTAGATGCCAACAAACTTTCCGTCTCTCCAGGGGGTAAGAAGTTACAAGCGACAATGAAGACAAGGCGCACGATGAGCCCTTCGCGCAAGATTTCATGATTTCTTATTTTTATTAGTTTTCATTTCCCCAATTCAAGTCTAGCATAGATTTCCCTTACTGTAATTTGATAATTTTGTTAGCTTATTTACCATTTTCATCAATAAATTGAGTATTCTTTACATCTCTATCATTTTCAACAACAAAAAAATTAAAAAAAAAAATCAATTTCCAAGCCGAACACAAAGTACACCAATGATTTGAGGCACCTTTGCAACCCATTTTTTCCACTAACCATTCAAACATACACTCCATTTCTTCACAAACCATTTTAAGCCTCGTCTAACGTTTGGCCTTCATTTCTTCAACCCACATTCACCTAACCCTGAGATGGGAAGGTGTGCAATTTGTAACATTCAGAAAAAAGTTGAAAAAAATAATAATAAAAGAATAAGTAAATAAAAAACAATGTCTAAAGGCAAGTGTTCCAATGTCTTGGATACGAACACGCTCAAATTGCATCTCTCATCGAGTGCTTTGTACCGTGCCAGAGAAACATGAATGCTAAGTGAGTGGTGGATCACATGATTTGAGATTGCCTATATTTATTCAAAAGAATAAAAAAGAAAAGAAATTCAAAGAAAAAACTTGCAATTCAAATTTTCAAATACACAATTGCATATCTTGGGGACTTCTCTTAGGTCTTAAGCCTTTTACCCTTTTCTTCCTTAAGCCATCAGCTTAACTACATTACAACCCTTGAAATACTTCTTTGAGGTGTACATACACTTGAGCAAAGTTCGATTCGATCTACGTTCGGCCTGATTCCTAATGGATGCGTAGGTAACCTCACATTAAGGTGCGGCCACATTCATATGCATGATCGAGTCAAAGAATATCCAATGCTTATTCTTATGACCCTACCCATCTAGAGCTGGACTTGGGGGCTTGAACCCACATCATTTAGCCTACCTAGCCTAAAGATTCACCATCTCGACTCTTCTTACATCTATTTCCATCACCATACACTACTACAAAATGAGTGTTTTTTCGACGCTTGGGCCTCGGTGCTAGGTAAGGGAGTTAATAGGTGGATTTAGTATCCGCGATATTTTTACGCTTTTAGGTGATGAAAGCAATTTTTGTCGCTATAAAGCGTTGAGAAGACAAGCACATGTCAAGCACGTGAATTGTTGGTACCTAACAACTAAGCCCACGTTTCAATTTAAGCGGAAATTAAACCAAAAAAAAAAATCAGACTACTCAGTTCTCAACCCTAACTTTTCCGCCCTCTTTGTGAGATTTATGGAATCTTAATTTAGATCTTAATTCTCCCTGCAATTCCCCTGTTGCTTGGTAAAAATTCTCTACTCAATTTTGTCACTCTCCATGCCGCTGTTGTTTCAAAGGTACATCTTTCATTTTCGATCGAATACGAATTTTTTCTTTTGATCGAAGTCTATTAAATCATTTTAGCAACCTAATTTCAACAATATTACAAAATTATGATTAGATATTGTTTGATTTATGAATAACAGAGGTTATAGGGTTTTATTATATATTGTTATGCTTCATTTTGCGATGAATCTGGGTAAATATTTGTTTATAAGAAATGGTATTGTCAAATTTCAAGAGCAAATTTAAAAGAAGTTTATAATTAATTGATTAAATTGGAAAACTTAAAGTAATTTCCCAAAGAAAAGTTGAGATTTTGAGAAGGGTTCCTTTTTACTATATTTAATCGGTCGTTTGATAGATTTTTGTTTATTTTTTAGTTACTTCAAATTTAATTCATCTTTGGCTATTGTTTTTACCTAGAAAATGTTACTTGTTATGTTATCAACTCTGATATGATTTTTCAATTGAATAGTTAATTCCTCTAGATCTATGCATCAAATATAGTGTTAAAGTTATTTTGGTTTGCTTTCTTCCATTATTTTTTTCAGGGTGTATTGGGGACTGTGATTAAAAGGATTTGAAGGATTTTATTCTCCACTTGATGCTTTTGTGCTAATTTGGTGCATATAAGTGACTTTTATGTTACTTTTAGGGTATTTTTATGCTTATTTTCCGGTTTAGTTTCTAATATTTTCCCTAGTTTTATACTTTATTTCGCTTATTTTCTTATTTTTCTTATTTGTTCTCTATTTTAAGTATTTTTGCATTTTTATTAGTTTTTAGTTTATTTTTGTAGTTTTAGTTAATAATTTCCCTCTTCTCTCGTTTTATTTATTTTCTTTTAGTTTCTAGTTTGTTTTATTTTATTTTTTTATTTCATTTTATTTTATTATTTCTTTAGTATTAGAATTTTATTTTACTTTATTTATCTTATTTTATTTTACTTTATTTATTTTATTTTATTTTTTCTTTTGATAATCCCCTCGTGTTGTTTTTGGTTTTAGGTGCTTTCGGGTCCTTGGTCGATCGAGTTCAAGGTCCGAGAATTGAGTCAAACAACATGCTCCAAGCTGTCCTAGCTGCTATCACCTTAACCATCAACTCACCCATTTCATTCACCTCACGCAACCCCACAACCACCACCAATCTAAGCATCCACAGCCGCCAAAACCGCCAGCAACAATCCCAATTACAGCAGCAACGATGCCCCTGCACTCCAACCTCACGCAAACCACATTCACCAGCGCACCACCATCTCAACCACATCCACCCAACAACACCAACACAAACATCAACAGCAACGAACACAACACCATCAACTCACCCATTTCATCCACCTCTCGCAACCGCCAGCAACAACCACCAGCCACCGCATCCTCACAGCACACCACCTCTGCCACCATCTCCTCCACACAAAATGACTCCAACCCGCAACAGCAGCCCACAAATTCTCCCCTGCTCCCTCACGCAAAACAGCCATCAATCACCACAAAACCACTCACCAATTAAACCCCTCAACTCACAGCAACCCAAACCAGCAGCCAACTCCCAATTCGAGTCTTGAGCGCGGGGAAATTATGTCGTTGAATAACCTCCTCACGGCCAAACAAAATTTATTATAATTCTTAACTAACCCCTAAACAAGTCTAGTGGTAAGTTCGGAGTCGAATCACAAGGAACGGTAATGTTGGATTGTTCTCGATCTAATGCTTAAGCTACGCCGAAGTCGGTTTATGGATAGTGGACACTACAACTACACTAACACACATATAAAGATCAAGATATTACAAAGTCTACAAGGGGCAAAGATCCACTTTGAACAATTAACAAGTTAATGGGAATCGATTTGATAATCAATCATGCAAAGAAAGAATTAAAATGGGAATTAATTACCATCAAGAGCAATCTCTCAAATTCCTAGCCTAGATCCCTCATTGACTAGGTGCATAGAAGAAATTTACCCAAATTGCAATCAAATATATAAATTCTAATTCACAATCCCTTGTCAAACTAGAACTAACATGCAATTAAGTTTGCTATCTTGGGAGATCAATCCAATCTAAAACAAACAACATGCCATCATCAATTCAATCAATTTAATCACACAATTATCATCAAATTTATCTCAAATAACTCAATTAACCATAACAAAGCTTCACTCAACACCAAGTAGAAGGAAATCTACTCAAACATGATTAACAAAGCAATTAATAAAGCATAAAGAAAGAAGAGAGTAAGAAATTCTCATTGATATAAAATGGAGATCTCCAAATCATCAAATTTCTCCTTTGATTATCCAAAATCCATGAAAACCATTGTTTCTCTCACTTTCTCTCTCCAAAATTTGAGAGTTTCTCTCTCTAAAAACCTAAAACTAACCTAAAACTACTGAAAATATGAATTCTCCCTCTAAAATGAGGAAAAAAAATCTATTTATAGCCCTTACTAAATTGCCTAGGAAGCTCCGCAAAAAGTCGAGCAGCGCGTAGAGGAGCGGGCGTGCAGGAGGTGGAGCGCCCGCTCCAGGTCCAGGAGCGGGAGTGCAGAAGGTCGGAGCGCCCGCTCCAAATCTGGAGGAAACAATCTGTTTTTTATTTTGGATTTTCTGTGAGGAGCGGGCGTGCAGATTTTGGAGCGCTCGCTCTTGGTGGTGGAGCGCCCGCTCCTCTCGGACTGGGCAAACTGCTCAGCTTCAAATGAGCATATCTCCCACGTTTTACAACGGAATTGAGCATATGACCTGTCGTTGGAAAGCTCTCAAAATAAGCTTTCATCTCAAATTGAAATCGCCCCAAAATATTTTTTAGATCAAAAAATATAGGCGTTTGAAGTATGATCTTTGCAAATCAAGTGCACATTTCTTCATTACTTGTTCTTTTATGTTTTATATTTCTTTAATCTTGAGAGATGAACTTATCCAAGTGTTCCTAAACATAAGAGTAAACCAATAAAGTTTAATCTAATGTCATAAGCCACCAAAATATGCAAGAATACCAAAATTGATGAATAACGACATTTCACACACAAACATGACAAATGTAGTAAAACGCTATTAAAACCAAGTAAAAAGATAGAAAAACTATGAAAAACTAACTACAAAACTCCTAAAAATAGCGACATAAATGACACTTATCAAGGTTCTACCACTCACCATCAACCACGCAATTCCCCTGTTCCATTCGAACAGCAACAACCTCACCAAACCACGACTCCGACCACCGCAGCCACTCAATTCCGGCCATCACCCTACCAATTCGTGCAAGAAATAGAGCAAAATCAGAGCAAATGGAAAATTAATCAAGTTCGAGCAAACCAATAAGAGTTCGGTCGAAGTACAAGTCAGAAACTTTCAAAGTTCTGTAAATTGAAGAGGTGTGGTCGAACACACCCATGGTTTGACC